ATTTGTTTACGCGTAGTAATATTTAAGCTGGTATTTTAAGTTAGAACATGAGGTTTTGTATAATAATATGTAAAAAAATATTTTTAGGCTGCACATGTTATTTTTTTTAAACCTAACCTATTTTTTTTTATTTTTTTGTCTATGCTCCACGGTTAAAATATGTATAGCACTATAGTTATCGTAATTCCGATTGAACATAAAATATTTTGTAAATGCATATTGGCATTTACTAAACATATCGATCGATCGATATTTTGCATTCCTTAACATAGCATAGATTTCTATAATAATTTTAATTTCTAAAGAAACAAATATTTCTTGATTTTCGCCAAAATTTTTGGTGTTACTGGCATGTTATAAATTCTTAAGTGTCAAAGGACACTGTTTGTTTTCGATTACATAAACAAAATGGAGTTAGGTTCAATCGATTTAACGCGGGAACTTACAAGTTGTATCGAGAAAGACATCTCGGTCGATAAATCGCAGCGTGTTCAGCTATCAAGTTGGACAAATTTGTTTTTATTGCTGTTATCTCTGGGTGGCTTTATGTTTGGTTGTCTTTGCCTTTCATTTTTTTTTTTCGTTATAGTAGTTTATGTGCGGTGCGTGAGATGGGTTAAAAAATGTCCATAGATTAAAATTAATATCTCTATTATTTTTCATGATTTGTTAAATTCATCTTGTATAGGTTAAAAAAGGTTACATTTAAGGTACAATGAACTGTTTTAAATAGTCGATTTTAATGAGTTGTGGGTTGCTTTCAATATTTGCATATTTTTTTTAAAGCAAAGGTCACGGTTCAGAATTTTTGGTTTTTATTAAACGTTCGTGTCAATATATTACATGTTCCAATAATTTCTGCAACAAGAATGTCTCATTTATCTTTTTTTAACTTGATAGGTACATGATATATTCGATGTATAATATATGTTTTTAAAACGCTTATTTAAATCATTTTGCATTACAACAAAACATTCTCGCAATTAGGTATTGTTACTAGCTAATCTCTTACATACAAAAATTAAACGATCAACCATCATGGAAACAAACACCGGCTTGAAGTTATGATACTCTGGTATCAGGTGGCTAACGACTCTCTGTCCCGTAGGTACGAGCCAATGCGTTACGACTTTTTAATGGTCACCATGAATGGGTAACATGAGATCTGACGCCTCACCATGCCTTACCACTTGGAAAACATAAACAGTTTTGTACAATGAGAACAATAAAATTTGGTTTTAGTTACGATGGACAGATAACGCTGGGTGTTAATTAATCATGGCGGATCGTTCCATAAAGTTCATCGTGTCAAACTCACATATCGACTGTCGCAACGAACAGTATCGATTCTGAAAAAAATCATTTTTTTTTTTATTATACCAATCGATAGTGCATATAATATAGTTTTAGAAACAATAAAAATATTTTTGAAAATAAATGAATTTAAATAAGTTTTGAGTCGAATACAATCGATACTTGACACTTTCAGCTACGAACATCATCGAATGTTACAAGTTCGATAGTGTTCGCATGTGTTGATACGCGCGCACACTCCGTAACTGCCTGAATCGTTAGTGTTCGCCGTTATGTGAGCGAGGAAGCGCGTGTTGTTTTTGTTTAGTTTTAAGAAGTTTATATTTCATAGTTTCGTTATTAGTGTTTTGTTATTTCTTATTATAAGTTTCAAAATGAATAGTCGAGGTAGATGTATGGTTGATTTAGTTAAAAAAGGAGAACAACATCAGAGTTGTGAAACCACACCCAACGATAAAAATTACGATCATTCCGGTAAGTGTACATTTTCTTTACAATTTATTTATGTAATATTGAAAATATGTTATATTTTAATGTCTAGTTTTTCGATCTTTTGAAATAAGTAATAATTATGATTTACTCATATCCACATGGCGGTTAACAAGTTAAACTATCGAGTGTGGTAGATTTGACAGTGTTCCAAGTGCACTTATTGTTGACAAATATGGAAAGTGGCATTTTCGATAGTATACGTGTACATTATAAGTAAGACATTTATCGAATGTGATACTTTCGATTGTATACTATGGAAAACATTTATCGAATCTACCAGTTATTATATTATTCTACGCTGAATACTTTTTAGTTGAAATTTATTTACATATTCGATTGTTTACAGTTTTTTGTTGGGTCTTCTTTTCATCTAATAATTCAAGTAAGATATTAAATTACTTATGTTCTTTTTTGTTTTAGAATCTCCTGTACATTATAACGACTATACCGAAGTAGAATGGAGGTTTTTGAATAATCTTTATGACGATGTGTTTCCTACTTCACAAGCCGACGAAGACAAGACTAATGAGAGTCTGACAAATGACTTCCACAATATTATACTTGACAGTGAAGAAGGTACACCAATGCCGTCAATTCTCCCCTCACAAGACCTTAATTTCGGATCACCACTGACTGAAGATCCCGTAGGGGCGCCTACGGTATCTTCAGTTAGTTCAGTAAATGAAGAAAGTACGCCTGCACAGTTGCTTCTTTCCCAACGAGACCCTCTCCTTGAAACAACGCCATCTGCAACTGACGACCCAGTAAACATCCCAAGTATAAGTTCACTGATTTCGACATCCGACAATGACTGCTGTATTACTCCTACTTCAGCTACTTCACACAAGCGCATTCCAACACACAAAACTGATCCTGGTCGTAAACGAAAACGACATGTCAAAGAGTGGGTTGATGTTCGTAGAAAAATGTTGACTAATTAGTTGACTATAAACAATATGTTTCAAAAAAAGGTAAGACCGTTCCAGCTAAAATCATTAAACCACCATGTCCTCATACCTGCAAGCTGCAATGCACTAAATATTTTAGTGAAGAAATTCGAAAAAACATTTTTAATGAGTTTTGGCGGTTATCCGATCACACTAAGCAGTGGGAGTATATCAACAAATTTACTTAAAGATTCGATAAGAAAAGGATGACAACTGAAAAACCATCTAGAAGAAAATTTACAACAAAATATTACTTACCTTTGCCTGCGAATGATTCCACCTACGAGGCTCAGTAAGTGTGTTTGAAGATGTACTGTGGCACTCTTGCTATTACTGATCAAACAATTCAAACAACACACAGCAAAATAAGATGCTTGTGGAATTACTAGCAGTGACAATAGAGGGAAACATGTAAATCACCCAAAAAAGGTGGACGACGAGATGATACGAAGTGTTACTGATCACGTAAAGTCTTTTCAACCCGTTGAATCTTACTACACCAGAAAAAATACCAGTAAATTGTATTTAAACAACTCTTTGAGTTTCAATAAGATGTTTGCAATGTACAAAGATTGGTCTGAATTATCTAAATATAATAACAAAGCAGAGACTGAAAGACAATACCGAAATATTGTAAACAAGCATATGAATATTGCATTTTTTATTTCGAAAAAAGATTTCTGCGACAAGTGCCACGCGTTTAGCAACGAAATTAGTCCCACTGAAGAACAGGTACTGGCTCATAACACACATGAGGTTTTGGTCGGACAACTGTAATGGACAAAATCGTAATAGAGTGATATAAAGTCTTTACATGTACGCAAGTAACAAATTTAATATTGATATAACTTATAGATTTCTGGAGTCTGGTCATACACACCAAGAAGCAGACAGTGTACATGCTTTGATCGAAAGATCTGCAAAGAGCAAAATAATTTACACGCCTGATCAATGGTATGCTTTGGTTCGTTGGGCAAAAACGAATAATGAACCATATAACGTCATTGAAGTATCTCAAGATATGTTATATGATTTCAAAGAACTGTTGCAAAACAGAAATTAAAAAAAAAACTTCGAATCAAGACGTTAAATGGAATAATATAAAGGAAATTTGCGTGAAGGGATCTGAACCAAACATTATTTTTTACAAGTACGATTACCATTCCGATTATTTCAGGTTAGGTTGATTCGTTTTGTATAAGTAGGTACTCGTACGTTACTCGTAATCGATCTCAAGCTAAGATGGCTATTTTTGTTTTTTATTATTAATAAATGTGCCTTATTTAAAACACAGAACTTGTATTTAATTTGGTACCTCCTCCTCCTTCTTCAAAAAGTAACTATTATAAAAATTTACATATGAACCAACTATTGAAATGTATCAAAAGTTTAGATTCGTATATAGATTATCAAAGAACAATATCGAAACTGGTATATTCGATATTTTTTATAATTTTGTAAACCACGAATATTATGGAATCTGCCACTTTCGATGAAATTGCAGTTGATGATAACAAGGTATACCGTCGAATATGAAAAATATATAAAATACAAATAAAATATTTAAATCAGGTGCAGGCAAACAAAAACACATAAAATAAGCTATCTTATAAGGCCATAACTTTTAGAACATGATTATAATTAATCATAATAGATCAAAATAAAGTTTAAAACAGCTGTACTGTAAAGTATGTGATTTGTAGGTTCGATACTGTTCGTTGCGGCAGTCGATATGTTCTTGAATGTCGGCTAATTCATCTTTATAAAAATAATGCAAAAAGAATGCTCTTATCGGTTCAAATCTGGATGATTTTATAACTTACCAACATTATTTTTAGTAGAGCAATTAATTAAAAAGCTTCATAAATTAGGTGCTTTTAGTAAGTGTAATTTAAAGGCATCATGCAAGCATTATTCTATGAGTTATACCGTGCAAAAAGGTTAGAAGCTAAAAAGAAAATATAATAACAAACTCGGTGTACTTGTGCGGGTAGGTATACAAAGTGCGATTCGTGATAAACATTTTCAAATCGTATGAGCTGTATGAGCCACTGAGTTCTAAGTTTACTTTAAAGAGAATTTCCATGCGCTAAAGCCGCAAGTAACAGTCAACACGCGTTAGTCTTTGAAGAGGCACTAGCCATCGACAATTATCAGCTAGACCTGAGGTCAAATTGGCGCCATCTACTATTCGAAAATGGAAATTCTCACAGCTCGTACGTTTGAGAGTATCAGAATACATCTGACCTTTGGCTCGGCGTGGTCCAAGCTGCAGCGCGGGGAAGCGCCCCCGGCGAGGTAGCTACACGGCATCAGGGTCACCATCCTTTACCCTCGCGGTAATGTCACACACAACGTCACTTTAACAGTTCTTTTGGCAGGAAAAAGTTGTTGTGCTGTCATTTTGCGCTTATCGTTTTGTTATTGAACGGCACGCCGTGTCTTTAGTTTGGTGTATGTTTTCTTTCGATCTTTCTTTATCCATAGCTTGACTCCCTTAAAAATAATACTGTTTTCTTAGGTAATTTTTATAGTGTGTTTATATGAATTTGTGTTTGCAAATTATGTCATAGGTATAGACGTAACGAATTAGATTACTGTTTCAAATTAAAAAAAGGGCCTGAGATTCTGCCAGCGTGAACCTGTGATTTGAAAACGGTCCAATGTTATCCCTAACAACGTCGTCAACTCTCATCATTTACAAACGAAGGTCGGTACGCCAAAAAGTCAAGAATAATTATAACGCTTCGTCGGTGGCTAGTTATTGAGAGCCACTTAGTCATCGCCCTACGGTGGTCGAAAAAATATATATAAAAATAAAATAAAAATAAAAATACATGCATGCCCGAGCGGACCACCCATGAAGCTACGTCAAACTCCAAACGGCCATGTTCATCAAGTTGTCAAATTGAGTTTGACATAATTGTGAACGAGTCTTTTTTGTACAACCTCATCTATATTCGTTGGTAATCTGTGGCTTCTGTTCAAATGAATAGATTTGATACGGTGGTACTTTTTGTCTTATTATTACGCTTTGAGTATAATACATGTACTTATGTATGTGACCTGTGATATTTAGAAGAAAAAGCGTGTCGTAAGTTATATAAAGATAGAGGCACTTGCCGCCATTTGGCAAGGAGCATTGCTGTGACATTACCAATGTTTTCAGTTGCTACATCATTCAAACAAGCACTATGGTACACAAACTTTGCGAGACACATCTGACTCAGTTTCTTCATCAATTACTTCATTTCTATTTTTGCAGCGTTTTGAAAATTGAATATTGGTTCGGAGGTTCGGAGGACCAGTAAATCATATGTATGATTTCTAAAAGAATCATCTTTCAATTTCAAGAAATCCCCATAGTTTGTCTCCAATCTTACAACAAGTAGTTAGACTGACTAAGAATTTACAAAATTAAAGGTTATCGGAGATCAACCCGCCTCCCCATAATTCTGGGAGGGAGGGAAGGGGGGCACTTAGAGGGCGGAAACTCGCTTGTATCTCTTGAGTTGCAGTTCTTACTATTAAATGACCCGCCTGGTCGTTTTCCTACATTCTATAGAAAAAAAAATTAGTCCAGCTTTCAATGGGGACGTCATATGTAGTAAATTAGAAGTAGGTACTTTGTTCAGTCCCTGTAGTGACGCATTAAGAATGTACAGTGTCACCCGTATTCTGTGTGTGTAGGAAACTACACAGGACAACAGCACTGCAAAGAGAAGGAAATTAGAAACAAACCCTTTTTTTTTTTTTTTTTTTTACGTGTGGAAATCCCCTCGGACCGTCACCCCGCCGGGGCTCTCGTTCGGCGGGGCGGTGTGTCGGACTCGAACCGACTAAAACCACACGGTATGCCCTCTTTGCGCTTCCAGTTTAGGAGGGGTCCAGGTAGTTATCGCCTTCTGGACCCCTCCCAGCGCCGGCCCGCTCCTCATGCGGGCTCCGTCTCGAAGTTTCCTCTCTTTAGGCGGCGTCCGGCACACGCGGACGCCGCCCCCTCGCGGCTGGCCAACTAATGCGGGTGGAGGGGAGAACCCATCCCGTCCACCCGCGGCCACACTCAGGGCGACATGAGGCGCAGGTAAGCGCGCCTTTCAATTTCGCCGGCGGCGGATCAGGTCCGAGTGGAGGTCGTCCTCCCGGGCCTTCTCCGCCGCCTCCTTCTGCGAGATTACCTCCTCGCAGAAGGTTGCGACCGCGGTAAATAACTGTCGCTACCGGCCATGGAGCGAATTACGGCCGGTAGCGAGAGATCTGCTCCGATGACTGCAGTGAGGGCCCGGCGCTGCGCCGCCCATGCGGGGCAAACCGCCAGCGTGCGCTGGGCCGAATCCTCACTGCAGTCGCAGTGGTGGCAGGCGGGACTCGATTCCCTCCTAGCGACCGAGTACAGGTACCTTCCGAAGCAACCGTGCCCGGAAAGCACCTGCGTCAGCCGGAAGGAAACGGTCCCGTGCTGCCGCCCTGCCCACTCGGCGATGACCGGCTGGAGAGCCTCCACGGCGGCGAAGCCAGCGCGTGGTGTCTCCAGCCGGAACGACCATCTGACCATGGTGGCTCGGCGAGCGGCTTCGCGCCACTCGCGCACGTCTTCGGGCGGAGGGCGAAATCCGCTCTCCGCCCGGAAGTCAGCCACTCGCCGATAAACTTCGGCGAGCACTTCCGCCTCCAAATCCCACGGGGGTGTTCCGGCCAAGGCGCAGGCCGCCTCGGTGGACACCGTGCGGTATCCGCGTATGGCTCTGACCGCCAATATCCTCTGGGGGCGCCAGAGGCGCGCCCTATTCGGGGCGGTCAGAGCCGCCACCCACAAATTAGAAACAAACCCTACACCAACCCGTCTGGCTAGCGTGGTATAGTAGACCAAAACCTCCTTTTGTAAGGAGAGACCTATGTCCAACACTGGACTATTAAAGGCTGTGAATGATTGGTAACTTTGTTCAGTTTCATCCTAATTTCATATCCGGGCGCGGAAAAGCCGGCTATAATAATTCAAGGTTCGCCGATATCCGGCAAAGCAGGTGTCCGTTACATCACAAATATTTTCTTTAAATATTTTTCAACAATATAACTATTGCAAAGACTTTTCGGAATTCTTAAAAGGCCATAAGTCATTTATTTATTGACCTCTACAATATAATAACAAGTTTTTAACTTGGATATTAATGACTTCAAACTTGTCGTTTATGTAAAACTTCGATAGTTAATGACAACGGCATCTTACTACAGTTATTTAACAGCATTTATTTCAAGTATTGTTTTATTGAATTAGAAAAAAAAGTATATTTTTCTTGATAAGTTATAAGTAAATTTGTAAGTTGAGCTTACGTTTTTAAAAGAACAAAATACAGCATATCTGTCGCCAAGGTACCTATGTCTAAGAAGGTTTAGGATACTGTCCAAGTCCATTATTATAGCAAACTCACATATTTTACCCAAGAAGAGTAGACAGGGGAGAAATGAACGCTAACATTTTACAAATTATAATTCTAGAACTTACTACTCACGTAATAGTGGGGAAACCTCTTGACGTGGGTATCGAACCCACAACCTCTGTCAAGATTGACTACGAGACCAACAGGCCCGTCAAGCATTTGACAACATTATTGAAATATCCTAGGTTGTCTTTCATTGTAACTTAAATCACTCACAATACAACACTACCATGGTTTTGTTGTTTGACCAGACTCCCAATATATTTAGATATTAAACATATTTCCAAAATAAAAAAAAATTACGTCATGGAGTCAAAGGAGTGGACGGCGTCTAGTGATTACCGGCGTCCATATAGGTAGATCTGCAACTCACAAGAGTCACAAGAACGTTACCGTTCGTTTAGCCTACACCCCAGAATCTATGTGGGGGATCCGGATTTTATTTTTCTTTGCCGAAGCATGAATCTCTCATGGTATGAAAAGCATTCATAGGTTATGGTGACAACCTGTTCATAGTTCACCACTACGAATGAAATTATAACTTATAACCTATATATGGGATTAATAGTTTATTGCACACTAGCTGGTGCCCGCGACTTCATTCGCGTGGAATTTGAAAGTTAAAGCTGCCTAAGTGGGTGCTATTCCCAGACCGGGCAAAATTTTATAGGGTTTTTCTGAGGGAAAAAGCCTAAGTTACTCCTTATATAGACAGCTACAGTGGAATATTGTCAAAGTCAGTTCAGCCGTTTTGAAGATTACACGGAACAGACCAGAAAGATAGACAGACAAAAAATAGTTAAACTTGTTTTTAGGCATGTGTATCGTGCAAATAACTATTTGTATATATTATTGTTGTATTCCAGAATGTTTTTCAAGTTATAGTTAATAACACGCGAAAGTGTTGCCATTTTGTCTATCAATACTGCCTTGCGTGACTTTTCTACTGCATTTCTAATCTCACATTATTTATATTATATCTATGTCATTAACCTTTACAAGTATCTACATTCAAATTTATTATCATCTTATACATGTTATCTTAGTACTCGAATATTATAAATCCATCCGTATCCCATCATTATATGAATAAACGACCTGATGCCTATCAATATTAATAAATACTTAACATAAAAACGATTAAATACGACCAAAGTCGCGGGCGGTCATTAGCGTAAAAATAAAATATTTTAAAGCAAGTGTGTTTGTATCAACAGGGGGCTGAACAGTAGCATAATCCCGCTGTGTGAAACGGAACGCCAGGGTGGCCAACATAATAATGAAATATAGACAAAATTTGGAACAACTTTCACTGACTATGTTTTGTTTGAAAAACCCTTTATAACCTTTACTTAGTATTGCTTTCCTGTTATCAACACTAGTCTAAACATGGTTTATCAGATTTAACACTACACGAAATTTAAAAAACAATGTTTTCGTGTCATTCGATACAATTTTTTTATAATAATTAAAGCGTGTTTATTCATAGATATTATTAGCAGCTTCAAATAAGTTTTGATGTAGTTTTATAACATTGAACATGCATACAATATAGCGTTTAATAATCCAGATGCCACGTAATATCCTAAATTCAATGAATAGCATTGCCAGTCCACTCTCATAGCCTTTGCCTCCTTCACAACAGGGGGTAAACGCTTCTACGGAAACGTTCAACTCTTTAGTTGTAACAACCTACATATACCACTCAAAGTCATATATTCATAGAGCTTATATTCGCATAGCACACTTTAAAATATATTTCGACGAGAATATCTGGCACACAAAATATAATATGTATTAGGTACATTATTTTTATCTGTATCTCAAACGGATAAAGTTGAATTCAGAACTTTACCTCCTGAGTTAACTTTAAGTTTGTTTTTCTCA